CCGACATAATATCTTTGTCCACAATAAACCCCTCCCGGTGAACGCCTCTACTCATCGCTGTATTAGCTCACTCGGAGCGGCACTTGGACGGAAAATGGCCGCATGCATAAAGGAGCATTCGTCTTTTTCCGTAAAAATACCAATTCACAATTCCTGTGAGAATCTAGAGTTCTCCACGCCAACATCAAACCACTTCATAGAGGTGTCAGGTTCCTTAAGCGGGCCAGCCTGGACCACTGATCTGTCCAGGCGATTGGGTATTGAACCGACCACTTCCGCTGTTCCCGATGACACTTTGTCAACAGCGATATTCGTCGAAGCTTGCCATAAGAAAATAGCTATGAGTTTTTTGTGATACTGTAAATTGTAGCCGTTGGGAACTCCACCGTTTCGCTCTTGCTTCCTGCAGATACAGTAGGTGGACTAACTCATGAAATGTCAACAGAAATTCCGAAATGCGTTTTCGTTTCGAAAATATTAATTAAGTAGGGTTGGTGCGTCAGATGGTCAAGCCATTATCACACCAACATCCAACGCACGTGATGAGATTGCAACAATTAACGACGCGAATGTCGGCCATCAAACACTCATCACACCATGTGCAACGACCCCTAATGAAGGGAGGAGCCGTGAATATACGGTAGCATGGCGACTGCATCCTTTACTGCAGTCCCCTGTGTGCATGAACCACCCCTATCTGCTTTTTTGTCTCTGATGATGGGTTCGAGCAGGAATCCGAAACGTCGGGCTAATAAAGCTCTTGTCCCAGCTATCGTGTCGCCTTCTTCAAGACGGCTTCTTGGGACTCGTTTCTCCGCTTCTATAGACAGCATTTCCTTTCTTCTTGTGGCTCTTTTGCTGCATGTGAGATCCTTGTGTGTGGGTAAGGGGGGGGGGGGCAGATCGGCTAAGTGAAGCACGCATACCGACTGTTCTCAGCTCTGTCAGCCGCCTCTCCTCATCATCCGTTGGTTCACCGGCACTGACAGTCCGCCAGTGCATGGGCTAGGGTAGAGTGAATGCAGTCAGCGGTCTCATCACATATATCTCAGCATACGCGATTTGATGCGCTTAAATCCACGGTGTGCTAAAACCTTTGGCTTGGAGGGCTGGCAACTGACTGGGACCTCCCAGTCAGCCCGGTGTGTTGCTGTGGAGTGACCGACTGGTGGACTGAGAGCCTGGCTCCTCCTTGATGCGACACTCCCACTCCGGGGGATTCGAGCTGTCCCCACTCTTTTCCTGGTGTATAAAATCCCGGCCAGTGTGCTTTGTGGACCAGCGAGTGTGGTGGCAGTACGCCTAGGTGCAGGTTTTCGCCGTGCCACATATCTGGGCTCTCTCCCGCCTTCAGCCTTTTCTGACTCTGTCATGACACCGAGCCCAGGAGGGAGAGGGGAGTGTGTGGTAGATGGTGCGCCAGTCTACTCTCCCTACAAACTAATTCACCGTCTCTGCTCTCATCCTGCTCACGGTGGGCATCGTTGGCAACGCCGATCCAACTGTCGATTATAGACCCAGGCTATGCTGGACTGCAATAGCAAATTTTAAACCGAGCGTCAAAAATGTCTGCTCATTTCTCAGCACTATACGGCTGGCCATAAAAACGCACACTGGAATTATAAGAGTCCTTCCATGGTGGGCCTTGAAATGATGATGCCGGGAAAAAGCGCGACATGGAATGGCGCGTCATCAACCCTGACGAGCCACGCCAATTTCGACAATCCTCGGCACAGAAGGACGCACAAATTGCCTTGTCTGATAGTTTTCTCATCGCCAAAAATGAGGATCATCGTTGTGCAGTTGCTGCCAGAGAGCGTCTTGCACCTCGAAATCCCTATTTTTACGTGTCGAAGTGAAATAGGTATGTACATATGCGTCCTGAATTAACGACGGACATAAAAGTACTATTCACCGAATTTAAGTAGCGATGTTTTTAAACACAAATTTGTGCGGCATTTGGTCTGTGGACCGATCTATTCCGTCATTAAGGCAGGAAGGAACCATTTCAGCCTGGAACAGACGAATGAATAGGACCGAATAAGGGCGCCATTTTGCAACCTGTTATGCTCGTCCTTCTGACCCCTGTTGGGGTGTTGCCGGTGTTGGTCAAGTGCATGTTGTGGACCGGGGGGTGGTGGCACGCCTAGGTGCAGGTTCGGACGTGTCGGCTACCTGCGCACTACCCCGCACCAATCTCCTTGACTGCCTGACACCAGGTCCAGGCTGACGGCGACACGGCAATTAGGATAGACTTATGAGCGTGAGGCAGTCTGGTTATATCACTTTACATGAGACCATATTGGATCATTTCAGAGTAAAATTTTGTTTGTGATAAAGAATGTCACGTCTGTCTGGACGTGAAGTTGGAACGTACAGGAATGAAGTGCATTTGTCTGTTCGGGTTTAAAGATGGAATTCTGACGATCTACTAGCGACTTGGAGCTCCAGATCGAAAATGCTCGCAAGTAGTGCCATAGAGACGACTAGTCTGTAATTGAGAGGTGTGACCGACACAGGCTTGGGAGATCGGGATCATAATTACCAGACTTCGGCCATGCCAGTACTCAGTATGAAACCTGTTTGAGAATGGTGCGAGAGGTGTCACGTCCGGCTGTTTGTAGCCTGAATGGGTCGGAACATCCCCGGTGAGTTGAATGTGTCGTCATTCAGATAATATTGGAAGGCTTCAAAGCCAGAAGGCAGGAACACTAGCAAATGCGGCAGCACGCACTCTTCAGTTTAATTGAGATTTGTCCGGACAGATAACTTTACCCGGCTAACCCCAACTGTGAGCACAACCATGGAAAATAAGAAATCTCATTGCCGTCCACCTTTTTTCAGTGATTTCTCAATTTAAGGGAATATACTGCACCAAGGGTTTCATAGCCTCGCACAGAGACAGAGCGTCGGGAAGAAGAGAAGCCGTATCCGGAAATTACAGCAGACTATCTATTCCAGTTGTGATCCCGTCACTTCTGGCCTAACTGCGAATCTGTCTCGACCCGCATACACGAACATCAGCTGGCGGTGAGGAATTGAGATCATATATCGCAGGTGGCCATGCACATACTGAGCACAAATTTGCGTGGCTGAACACTCGCGTTGTTGAGGCCTGCCCAATAAGGAAGGGCCGTGAATTCCTGGAAGCAATGCCCTCGGATAAGGCATGCGTCAATCGCCACGTGCAAATTTCTCAAAGGAAAAATGCAGGAGGGCGAAACCAATGTCGGGGATAGGATAAAATGTAATTAACCCACACTGGCGCAAACTTCGACCAACTGCAGAATCGCTTGTTCCACACAGTTAAATTATTAACTATTTTGGTACATAAGCCGTGGTTTTGACAGCGAGGTGGAAAACCACTCTCGAAAATTTACACAATAAATGTTATTTTGTTTCCAAAAATCTCACCTATTTCAATTTACACTCTTTGGAATGCCTGACCTCCAATAAACAAAAGTTGGCATTTCTCATTCAAAACGCCCGGTCATATAATTGTGGGACAGACTATAGATCA